TCAACTCATGCTTAAGTGGAGGAAGCTCTTAAAGATTTCTCTAGTATGAATGTAAGTTAAATAATAACAAAAAAATGAAGATATGTTTGTACTTCATCTTTTTGAGATGGTACTTTTGCTTAGCAGATGAGCTTTGGGCCGCAGGCTGTTTATCATGTCTATCTGTACCTTTCTGTAAGTGCAGCAAGAGTGATTACTTTCTACGCCATTTATGAGTTTTCTTCAAACTTAATTTTTTGGCTTGCCATGTGTTTGTCAGAAATCACTATCAGTTTTTATTTGGCATTTGTGCATGAGCTTTGCTTTTGGACAAATGCTGCTCCATGTTCCATATCCTCCTGCTCTGCTGTGTTGCCCAGTAAGTAACCATACCAGTTTTGTTTTATCTTGAATTATTGTGTGTGATCTTCTTTTAGTTAAGTGCCTACAGTGATGTCTTATACATATTCTGCTTTTTTTTTTTTTTTTCGGTTGCTCTAACAAATTCTTCTGTTTTCTGTAGTTGTCATAATTGCAATGGTTGTAATTACTTCTTGGTTTCTTTTGCTTCTGCAAGGCTGCTGAAAGCAAATCTGCTGAGGTTCTTGACAGTGTTGTGGCAGATCTGGTCCCACGTGCTGCAGAGAGTGAAGAGCTTCCTCTCATGGCTTACCAGATTGACCGCTCCGTGATACTCTCGCTGCAAACATATAGAATGTAGCTCTGGTATGGTATCACCTCTTGGATTACAGCCTGAGCTATTTGACACCTGCTGGAATGCCTCTCTGATCTCCAGTACGGTTCCTGTTTTCCTTTATAGTTAGTGATTAATTAGCACTGCATATACCAGAGTTGTTTCCCTACTCTGGATGCTGCGTAGAAAATCTTTTTCAGAATGTGTCGAACCTGAGCAAAGTGTGCTCCAAGAATTCCTGGGGCATTCGGGGCATTTAGGCACTGCCTGGTGGCACAGTGCTGAGATGGTGATGAGGCAAAGCACCAGAAATGGGCTTCACAGCTGCTAGGTTAATTTAGTGGTTTTCCTTCCCTTGCTGCTGTGGATGCTGTGATTGCTGGTCCTGTTGCCATTTTTCTTTTTTTGTCCATAAATTCTATATGAGGCATATCCTAGAAGGGCAGCAACAGCCTTTTAAGAATGTGAGCTTGAAGTGTCACTACTGGAGACCAAATGGAGCAAAGTAGTTGCAGTTGCAAAGTAAATTTAAAAGGGAGGAGGCTAAAGAGTGATTGTAGTTTAGAAAGAAAGCAGATTGGAGGTGGACGATCACTAGAGGCACTGTGGGGACCATACTGCTCTGGTGATTTCCAAGTCAGTGGACTCTGAACGTTACGTTCCTTCCACCAGAGCAGAGCTTTAGGGGCGAAAGTTTCAGACAACAGAAATACTTGCCAGAGTTTCTTTCAGTGCTAGAGAGTGTCCTCGTATCTCAGTTGCTTCTGTCTGTCGGTGCATTAGCTTAAAATGCTGCCCTAAGTGGTGTTCTTGCTAACAACCTGCATTGGACCTGTGTTTACTTTTCATTCAAGTTTCCAGAACAGGAGCAGAGCAGAAGTTCAATGTGCTACAGGAGAAAAGATCCATGCTAAGCTGCCACAACAGGTTTTGCAGTGAGGGCGAATCAGACCTTTTTAGCTCGAAATTGTTATCTCTGGTTCTCTTTTTACCAAAAGGTTCTGAAATGGCTTTCATCATTCAATATTTAGTTCGTTCCAGCTATCTTCTATCAAGGCAGGGGTTACTTTAAATGTTTGTTTGCAGTTCAGAGTGTTGTCCTTTTGATGTTGTTAAGCTGTGTGGTGTTTGGAGTACTTTGAATATAAATTGGAGTACTTTGAATATAAAACAAGCATAAATTATTCACTACTTGTTGGTTGATATTGTATCACCTTGTTGTAGCGATGTTTACAAATAGAGGGAAAGCTGCAGGTTTTCTCAGATAAGCTCCTTGTCTTGTATGTGCGCAACATCTCTTCCAGGATGGGCTGCTCCACGATCTTCCCAGGCACAGTGGTGAGGCTCACTGGGCTGTAGGTTCCCAGACCTTCCTTTCTCCCTTTCTTAAAAGTGAGAGTGATGGTTCCCTTTTTTCACTCGCTGAGGACACCCCAGTCAGCTGTGGTTATTTTTTTCCTTGCAGTTCTCTGGAATGCATGTTGTCTGGCCCCATGTACTGTATGCACTCAGTCTTGTGAGGGGGTCTCAGACAGGCTCTTACAGAGGGGGGGATTTTACTCCCCCCAGCCCACATGCAGAGGGTTCAAGACATGAGGTATGTGGGAAGCCTGACTGGCAGTGAAGATTGAAACGGAGAACTGTTGAGTACCTCAGCCTTCTCCATGTTTGTAGGAGCTGGTTCTGCCTCCTCGTTTAGCAGAGGAGGTATGCTCTCCTTGGCCTGTCTCTTCTGACCATTGTACCTGTAGAACCCCTCATTATTTGTCACATCCCTCCCCAGGTTCAAGTCCATCTGCACTTTGGCTCTCCTGATCACACCATACATGTTTGGTTGGTGTTCCTGTATTCTTCCCAGGCTCCCCATCCTTGCTTCCAGACCTTGTGCACGTCCTCCTTACCCTTGGTCTGACCAGCAGCTCCTTGCTCAGCTGTGACAATTTCCTGCCTCCTCCAAGTTCCCGTGCTCTCAGGAAGGCATCCTTAAAGAGCTGCCAGTTCTGTTCCATTCTCGCCTCCCTGAGGGCAGTTTCCCAGGGAATCCCATCTAGTCCTTAAACAGTTGGAAGTTTGCTGTCCTGAAGCTCAGATCCCTGACTGTTCTTTCCCGGACCCACAGCCCTCGCTCAGCCATGGCACAGCAGCTACAGTGCCTCTGATCTTATCCCCTGTAATGATCCCTCTGTGTTGGCGAGCACCAGGTCCAGCAACACTTCACCTCTGGTTGGTCTGGGCAGTACCTGGAACAAGAAGTTATCCTCAATGGACTCCAGGAGTCCCCTGAATTGCTTGCAGCCCACCATGTTGTCTTCCCTCCTGCTCCTGCCTCGGGGAATCCCTTCTGAAAAGCACGTAGCCCTCAAATGTGGTATTCCAGTGTGTGATTTTGTGTTGTGATTTGCAAATACTGTGTTTTCATGAAGGCTCACAGTTATTCAGAGGCTTAACAATTAACATTTTATTGGCGTGGTGGAGTGGTGTAAGAAGGATCGTAGCACAGTCGTAACTCACATCTTTGTGGAACTTTCTGCAACTGGTAAAGCAGAGTTGTATTAGCTTGTGCCATAGGGAATTTCTGGCTGTAAGCTGTGACAAAAGAAGAGGAAAAACAAACAAAAAAATGGAATAAATCTTGAAAGAATAATTCTTCAGAAAAAGAATTCTCAGCTCTCAGACTGTCACATTGTTGGAAATATCCAAGTCATGTTTGTCAGGACGGTATCTCTGGTAACAGCAGAATTTATTTGCGATTGCAATGGCGGCGTCCCGCAAGCAGGAGCGCCTATGGACACAACATGGCAGCCTTTAGACCCTGTTTGCTCCCCCTTGCCTCCCCCGTCCCCTGTTTCCCCACTGGCTGCATACTCCAGGTTCACAATCTTACAGAAGGTTGACATTTGCTATTTACTTGTTAATTTATTTGTTACCTGCTGTCAGTCAGCAGCCGTGCTGTTGTTTCCAAGCTGTCTCGGTGCTCTCCTTGCCGTATTGATGTGATTTTCTTTAAAGACTTCGTTAAACAAAGAGCACTGGGGATGATGCCAGGCCTGCCGATGTCTCTTCAGGCGCTTCCTGGGGCAGGCCATGGCTGTTCCCTGGTTTGCTCTCGTGCAGGATATTCCTGCAGTGTGTGACAAAATGTACATCTATACACCTCTATACAGAGTGTGCGTGCCTGGGAAGGTTCGTCTAGAGGATCAGTGATGCAAACTATCAGAGATCTTCCCGAGGTGAAGTAGAAGGACTCCCAAAAAGAACTATGATAGCAGAGATCATGAAATAAAAATAATATTGTCTAATTCTAATGCAGAAACAACACTTGATTCCCACAACATCTAGGTTCATTTCAGAAGTTTTATGAAAATATGTTCTGTCAGGGTCTTGATTTATTTTCTGACTGCCTTTAATCTGTCTTTCTGAAGACCAGATGGTTGAGTCTGTCGTTGGGGCTGTTGGAATAGGCACTCCTAGGAACAGCACAGTTGCCTCGTGTCTGCAGTTGATGCTTTGTTATGAAATTTCTCTTCCTAAAGCTGTTGTATTCTGCTTTTCACTCTTCCCACACCACGATTGCTCTGTTTCTGAATTTACATCAGTAAGAGCTGTTCTGATATCCTTTGATAGAAGCAATGCCACCAGTCTTACCTTCAGTTTTTAGCTATCTTGATACGCCTTTCAAATGATCCTGTGTTCTACAAAGAGTTACTGGTGTTGAAGACTTTGAGGTGCCTTGTTCCAGTCTGAATGGTGGATTATCTTATCTTTTTTCTGAGCTGGGACAGGGAAAGATCTGCAGATCCTTATCGTCTGAGGCAGAGAACAAGAGTAGAAGCATGTCTCTGAAAGTCTCTGGAGTTCATCTCATTTCAGAGTCTTCTTTTGCTTTGTAGTACAGGAGCAACAGAATTGAATGAGGCTTCCATTTGTGTTCCAGAAAGTGTTTTTCCTACTTTGTTTTTAAATGACATTGCTGCTTAAAATGGTTCAAAGCAATGGTCTGTGGAATGGGAGCAAATGGTCTGTGTGCAGGGTGTGCTGCTCTGCTTCAGTCTGTCTCTTTGGAAGACACACATTTCAAACACGTTTTGTTACATCCTGCTGGGAATGAATCTCCAGTGTTGTCTTTGGGGTTGGGTCACAGTAGATCACAGCACATAGGCATGCAGGTGCGTATTAATTGAAAATGGTCAGAATTTCATGCACTTCAACAACAGAAGTCATATCAAACGTTCTCTTCCAAAGAAAGCTGAGTGAAACCTGTGAAACTCAGTTTGCTGATGCTTAGGCTTGGGAATGTTTCATGTCTGAACACTTTTTTCCCCTTTAGGTCAGTGGCATCAAGAACCTCTATGAGTCTGAACTGGCTGATGCTCGAAGAGTTCTGGATGAAACAGCCAAAGAGAGGGCGAGGTTACAGATTGAGATAGGAAAACTGAGGGCTGAACTTGAGGAGTTCAATAAAAGGTAAGGAAAATCTTACGTGATACATTGTGGGTTTTTTCTTTAAATGATGAATTGGTGATCTGCAGTGTGAACGACACTGCTGTTGCCTCTTAAAATGCCTTAGTGGGTGTCGTGAGGAAGTGATGCAGGCTTGTCAGTGGAATTCCTCAGATGGTATAGCTAGTATATACACAGATCTATTTGTAGATAGAGGATGAATAAGCTGCGAGTTGATGGGCTGTTCACACTGCAGATGTTAAAACAATCAGTCGTGCCTCCTTCCATCCTGGTCTCTTTGTTTCTCTCTCCCTCCCCCCCCCACAGATTGTATTGTGTGCCGCTTGAAGTTAGACAGCCGTCAAGGTTGTCTCCGTTGTCCTGGAGGCAGCAAATCCTTTGATTGTGTTTTAAAGCAATTTCCAAAAGTGAACTGCAGCAGGAACTGTGGGAATTTGGCTCCAGTTATCCTCCCTTCACTGCCCAGCTAGTGAGAATCGCTGCAAGTTGATCTCTGTTTTTTAGGCCTTTGCTAATACTGAGAGATTTTACAAATACCCTGTTGGAAAACACTGTGCACTTGAAATACTGCTGCTGCTGCTTTCTTTTGGGTCATCTCCCTTGCCCTGTGTTTGGGTGGTTGAGTTGTCCCTCATCAGTCACTTCGGGGACTTGACAGGGTAATTCTACCAGCCTCTTTCAAACGTACTTGGTATTCTGAGATACACTAAATATGAGGAAAGTGTGCCAGGTTTCCTGTCCTCTTAGTTCATAATAGAACTGAATTATTTCTTGGCTCAGAAGTTTCTTTTAGCAGATTGCTTTCAGTCCCTTGAGGTGTACTTGCAGAATCTTGCTGTGCCTGGTGTATAACCAAGATGTTATAACCACAATATAATTGTGTATAATCAATAGATATCAAGATGTTATAATCGCAATATAATCAAGAGAGTAAGGCAAAGCAGACAACGATCACAAAAGAGAATAAGTGGAAGAGCTTACCCTTGGGTTGAGCTCACCAGAAGACACCAAAAGAGGGGATCTCCAGAAGAGATCCTTCCCCTCTGGTAGCCAGCTCTTAAATAGGTCCAGGAGGGGTGGAGCCTGGCTCCACCCCTTCCAGCAGCACAGGTGAATTGCCTTCACCTGTGCTCCTCTGGCTGACTCAAGGCTCACCTCAGGTGATTAATCAGAGGTTCAGGCCGTGACTCAGCAGTTCCCATACAGCCTGGTGTAATACGTACAGAAAGTCACGCCTGGGACATACAACCTGACTTCAGATGCAATTCTTGAAAACAACTTTGTGTCTGTTTGCACAGGGTTCCTTGACAGGCAGCAAGTGATGAAGTCCTCCCTGCACACTGTCCTGCTCACCTCCCAAGCTTCAGTGCTTTGTGCTTGAAGGAGGAGGATGGCGATGTGTAACACTGTGTTTGCTACAATTTCCTCAGTGTCTCTTTCAAGTTCACTGCATGGTAGACCCAACTCCTGAAGGATTGGGGAGCAGCAAGAACTTGGCTGATACATGAGGATTTGTGACAGGTTATGGTATAGAAAGCATATGGTTTTCCTGCAGTGTACAGGACTTCAGAGTTGTTATCTTTCTGCCATGTATGTGCAGCTCGTTGATGACAGATGTCATCAACGATGACAGATGATGACAGCTGTTGTCACCCAGTGTTCTCCATGTGTACAGATTATTCTTTTGGGATTTTGGATGCCCTGGCACATACTTTGGTCATTTTGTTTCTTTATACCTATCTGCCATGTTTGATGCTGATCTGATGTTTTCTGGATTTTTTAGTACTTAGGGTAATTGGACAGTAAGAAGCATCCCAAGCTATTGTTTAGACAATGGGCAGTTGTCAAATAGACAGTGGGCAAAAAAAATCAGCTCCAAAAGGCTGCACTTTGAAGCCAAGTTTGAGATTGAGTGGTACTTTTTACATGTTGAGAGTTATATTGTGATTGTTTGTCTACCTTAGGAGTGAGAACAGCCTGGAAAGAAAAAGGAGGTACAAGGCCAGTGGGATGAGTCAGAAGCTCCCAGGCTTTGGAAGGTTCTAGGGCACAGAAGTGATAACAACTATAACAACTATAACAGTTGTTAACCATTACAGGACTCGGGAGCTGCCCTTTGTCAGCAGTACCTGAAGGGAGCCTAGAAATGTCGTGGCTCCAGACTCAGAATGCTGCGACTCTCCATCATGGAAGAGAAGTGATTTGTTGCCATCATCCTTTTTCACAGGAAAGCAGTTCCCTGGGCAAGGCTCTCTTCTTTAGGAAGGGATTCATAGTTCTTGGAGGGAACTGAAGGGGACATACTGGTCTGGAACCAGCAGAGAAGCGACTGCTTGTGGGCTTCTGTGAGAGATATGTGTGCTCTGCTCCTTGGGAGCTGTAGTCCAAATGTTTCCTCTATGAGATGAGGAAATGCTCTTTAAGGGATTGTTTTTGCCCTTGCCATCCAGTAATGAACTTGCCAGCTGGGCAGTACGTATACAGAACATTGTTCTAAAACTCCATTTGTACCAGGTTTGTAATTATTTTAAGTAACTGTAGTTGCAGATTACTCCAGAGCCACCTGCTGGTACAATGACTGTATACCAAAACATCTGTAACTGTAACCAAAGTATTCTCCAGGTGTGTGTGTGCACCCATGTGTAAATATGGTAACTTTTGTTTGTTTCAGCTACAAAAAGAAAGATGCAGATTTGTCTGTTGCTCAAGGTCGCATTAAGGATCTTGAAGTCCTCTTCCATAGAAGCGAAGCAGAACTCAATACTGTTCTGAATGAGAAACGCAGCCTGGAGGCAGAGGTGGCTGATCTGCGTGCCCAACTTGCAAAGGTATCGCAGCGAGTGCTTGCTTGCTTGAGCACAGCAGGAGTTACTGCTTGTGAAATCTGTTGGGACTTTGCTCTTAGTTTGTCTGAACATCATTGCTTCAGCTCCCTTCTGCTTAACCTTTCCCTGCCCCTCTTAGATGTGGAAATAAATTAAGAGGTCTGTAAAACAAGCTAAGTATTAAGGTGTGTTAGAAATATTGATAGCATAAAGATTGGTGCGTTCCTGGTTACTTAATGTTCTGCTTTGTAACATCCTGTGTAACTTTAATTTATGGTGAAGTATCCAGAGGAGCTGTGTTGTCAAGAAAGAGAAGAACATACAGTTCATCCTTGAGAAGTTAATAATCTTTGGATTCGTTACCAAGCTACACTGAAATAATCCTGTGTTTTATAGGTGGGGTAGAATCACAAAAGCTTTTCTAAGTATCCATACATGCTCACGCATGCATTTTCCTTTTTTTCTTTTTCTTTACTTTTGTAATAGCTTGAGATGAGATTTATTGTTGTGTGTTGTTGATCCAAAGATGTCAACTGAAGGCTGTGAAGGGCTCGTAGATGGGGAGAAAAGGGATCCAGTCAAAATTAAATATTTATCTTTACAATTCTCTACCAGGCTGAAGATGGTCATGCTGTGGCTAAGAAGCAGTTGGAGAAGGAGACACTTATGCGTGTGGACCTGGAGAATCGGTGCCAGAGCTTGCAGGAGGATCTGGATTTCAGGAAGAATGTGTTTGAGGAGGTAGAACCAGCCTTGTAATCTCATTGTATTCTGAAGCTTATGTAGTTCTTACTCAGACTGACCATAAACAATTTCTAATGAGACCAGGTAGTGAAAATCAGTATTATTTCATCTTTGCTGTGAATCAGCTGATTTTAAAGGTTGTGTAAGAGTTGCATAGCAGATCAGTGGCAGAACTAGCATAAAAGCCAAGTGACGAGGGTATTATTGTTCTGTGGGTTAACTTAACAGCTTGCTTCTGCTTGAGAGGGAAAGTCCTATTCCCTCTTTACACAGACTGCGTGGCCCTGCCCCTAGTTTGCTGTGGTGTCTGTTAGAGCTGACTGTAACCTGTTTCCATTGATGAGAACACTGCACCAAAAACTGTTTTTTGCTGGGAGTAAAGCAGTAGTTTTGTAAACAGTAGGAATGCACAGATGGGGATTGGGAGGAATGGAGAAAGGAAGCATGGCCACTTCTTGAAAAGTGAGGTCAGTTTATTCCTTGGAGTCCAACCCTGACCTTTGATTCTTCAGCAGCACAAACTCATTCCTTAGTGGCTGCTGAGCAGCTGCCACAGACTCCTGCCCTTTGTCTCACCCGTGTGATGTTTGGCTGACCATGCACCAAACTCTTTCAGCATGATTAATGAGAAAATATTTTGACTGTTTTGTTGAGTTGAATGTTTGCCAGTTTAATGGCTGAGTTCTGTTTCAGCATGGAATAAAATGAGTGTACAGACCGGGTGGAGGGGTTAGGCAAGGCTCTGTGGCTAGGGACAGGTATTGGGAAATGAAGGAAGACATCCTGAGCTATGATCGTTGTTTCACCTCCGTGCCACAGAGCAGTTGGGTTGCTGTGTGTACCTGCAGGTGACAGACCCTTCCTTGTTGGTAGGCCATTAAAGTAATTTTTTGCTCTGTGAGGACTTCTGCAAAGCAGCTCATATACAGTGGCCCTGAATTTTTGTTAGTCTGCTGTGACTTCAGTTTAGCCATGGGAAGTAAGCCTTAATTCTCTTGTCCTCTGCTCCATCTCATGACTGCACTGCTGTTTTCGGGCCTCCTGACAGAGTTTACAGCTGCTCCTTTATTTTGCCTTACTCTGAAGGCAGAAATGAATTCTTTCTCATACCACGCATTCAGACCTGGGTGGGTCTTTGCAGGGCCCAGCATGAATAAGTTAATGAGTAAATCTCAACTTCACTGGTTTAGGTGCAGTGTTACAGACACAGAGATCTCATCATTCACCAGAAAAAGAGTATTTTGTACAAACTGACAAGAAAAAAGATTGTTTTCAGAGCAATAGCATAGAGAATTTGTTTGGGTTGTTTCTTTATTACTGATGTTATGAAAACCTAATTAGCAGAGGTCATAGAATATATAGAAAAAAGAGATCTGCATATGCCTGAGTGAAATTTGAACATCTGTATTTTGTTTATCTTCAGCATTCAGAATGGTTGCAAAATGTGTTGATTTTATCTGGCTCCTTGTAGACTGCTTGCTGTTGTAGGCACAAACTCACCCCTCCATCAATTATTGTAGCACAAAAGATCTCCTTACTTAAATTCTGTATGAATATTTGTCAGCCATTTTTCAAGTTTGCTCACCTTTTAGAATTGTTTTTTACAGAATGAAAGAGGTAATTTGCATCTCTTAATATAAGCAGTAACTTTTGGCTGCAGTACTGTAGTTCCTAAATACTAAATAATTAGTACTGAAGTAATTAATACTCGTCTAAATGGAATTGCTTGTACTGTTTGCCTCAGTGTAGGACTTTGTCCTCTTTTTCTCTGTGTAGGAGATAAGAGAGACAAGAAAGCGGCATGAGCATCGCTTGGTCGAAGTGGACACCAGTCGCCAGCAGGAGTATGAGAACAAAATGGCTCAGGCCCTGGAGGATCTGCGAAATCAGCATGATGAGCAAGTCAAGCTGTACAAAATGGAGCTGGAGCAGACCTACCAGGCTAAGGTAACTGCTGCACTCCCCTTCTGGTGGGCAGGAGGTCCAGTCGGGAGATAGAACCATTTCCATCAGACCTGCTGTCTTTAAGGACACAGGTGGTAGTGATGTGAAGCTCTGTGATGATGTCCAAGTGGTTCCTCCTGTTCAGGTCACAGGCATGTTTCCAGCGAGGTTTAGCCCAGGGTAACAGCTTGGAACAGCAGTAGCCAGGAGAACATGTGGAACTGCTGCTCCCTGAGGACAGGGTGCGAAGAGGGGATGTCACACAATAGCTGATACAGTCGTTTTTTTCCTGTGGGTTTTTTTTTTTTTTTTTTTTTTTTTTTTGGTGCATTTGTGGTTTCATTGGGGCTGGTGGTGGGGAAATCAGACAAGATACTGGATGCTTTTTTGACAAGTGTGGGTGTTGAAAACTGTGGTGTGCAGTTTGGAAGTGTGAACATAGTGAGGCGTAATTTGATGCAGAAGAATGCGCCTTGAACTTCTTAAAATGTAGGCACTGCTTTGTTTTACCTGCCTGTGCAAATCCTGAGTTAGCAAATCCCCATTAATTCAGCTGGCAGTGTGGGGGAAGTAGTATGCTCAGTATTACTGGTACAGTTGCTGGCTACAAGTATGTAATGTAATTTTTTTTAATATTATTATTACCCTACCTGAAAAAATAGAGTAGGTGTCAGTTTTCTGGTTATGAAAATCCTTACCTGTAATTATAGCCACTTCTCATTCTCCTGTGGTGGAGAAATTATGGTGCTGCTAACATTGTTTTCCACGCCCTTGACTTTGAGACTCTCTTAAGAATTCTTTGGTTTGCAGTTTGAGAAATACTGATCTAAAAAGTATTTAACTCCTTCTTAGGGCAGCAACAAAATAAGTAATAGGTATTAAAAAGCAAAATAAAGAACCTTTAGCAATCTTAGCATTATTCAGAGAGGTTAGGAACAACCAGATACTTGGATTGACTTGTCCGAAGAGGATCCAAAGTATATCCTTTGTAGAGAAAGCACTGTTTGCAAAGTAGGTAGAGAAGGAAAAAATGACAAGATTTGAACAGGAGAGGAAGAAATTAAGGTTCCTCTTGAAGTAAGGAGGAGAGGGAAAGACAGGTTTAGCTGTCTGGGTAACATTGGTGTCTGTGTCCAGGGTCATATCAGAGAGATCTTGGGCTGCTGGAGAATATGGTGTGGCATATGCCAAACTTCTCCAGGATGAGCTCAGTGTACTCTTCCTCGCTTGGAGCTCTTGGAGCAGTGCAGTTGATGAAGATCGATTTCTTGAAGTCTTGTGCTGTGTGGTTAAGAACAATGTTCTGCCTGAAACTGTTCTTAGAGTTGGAGCACTTTGGTTCCTGTGTGGATTCTGTGGTGCGTGTAGTAGTAGATAGTTGAACTTAAGCTGCAAAGCATGAAAAATATGCATTTTCCAGCTACCTTGATGAAAGTTACAATGTAATGTGATCCTGCCTGAAGAATCCATGGAAGAGTGTAAGCATCAAGATCTTCCTCTTACTGAGGAAGTCAGTAAGTTGCTACTGGCCAGCTGAGATTTGGCACTAATGAAATGTTTTATTCAGCTTGCTCTCTGGGCATGCAGAGAACTGTTGGACCAGGACATTAAACTGGGGGTCTGTGTGATCATTCTGACTTCAAACAGGCTGGTAGTGATAACATAAACCTAAGCTTTGTAAGGCTATAATCCTGTAGGAATAGAACTGAAATATGTGTTCTCGTTCCTTTAGGGTATGTCTTTGAGGTTCATAAACTTACTAGATTTCCATTTTAAATTATTTAAGATTAAAAAGCTTATATGCAGTACTGCAGGTATATTTATGAGATGTCTAACTTAATACAATGACTCGTGTAAAACCTGTCTTCCAGTTGGAGAATGCCATCCTGGCCTCTGACCAAAATGACAAAGCTGCTGGTGCAGCTCGGGAGGAGTTGAAGGAGGCTCGCATGAGAATAGAATCTCTCAGCTACCAACTTTCTGGCCTTCAGAAACAGGTAAAAGGCACTAAATCTGTTCTTATTTCTAATATAAAGCACTGTAATGTTTGAATATATTCAGATTTGTCCTCTCATATTTTCTGAATTTTATGGAGAGAAGTGGTTGTGCTCTTTGTGGTCTTCGAATCATAGAATGACCAGGGTTGGAGAAGACCTCTGAGGTCATCCGGTTCAACTGTCCTCCAATCTCCAGTATTTCCCACTAAGCCATGATGTCACTACAACATCTGAATGTTTCTTGAACACCTCCAGGGTCTGTGACTCCTCCATCCTGAGGCCTGGCGAGGAGTAAAGTTGGGACCCTGAACTTTAGAAGAGTGAAATTCCAGTTGTTTAAAGGATCACAGAATCACAGAATCACCCGGGTTGGAAGGGACCTCAAGGATCATGTAGTTCCAACCCCCCTGCCTAGCAGGGCCACCAAACATACACATTCAGATCAGGTTGCCCAGGACCCCGTCCAACCTGGCCTTAAACACGTCCAAGGGGGAAGAGTTTCCTTGGGATCTGTCCCTAGAGACAAAAGAGCAGAACAGAGCTGATAAATCCTTAAGGCTGCTTTGTTAGGGTGAAAATTCTCCATCTGCACGTGTAAGAAATTAGCCAGGGCAGGCAGGAAAGGCTGAGCTAGGATCTGCTGGTCAAAGTGGGGAGTAAGAAGGAAATACTTGGGATGGATGAAGAGCAGAGATGATGTGCAGAGATGCAGAAATGGGATCAGGAAAGCCAAGGTGAAGCTGGACTTGGCAGGGGATACAAAGGATAACAGGGAGTTCTGTGGGTACACTTGTTAGAAGTGAGAGGCCAAGGAGAGTGGACCCCCTCTAATAAATGGGAAGGGAGAACTGGCTTCAACAGACTGAGATATTCAATTCTTTGCATCAATCTTCACTGCCAGTCAGGCTTCCCACATCTCATGTCCTTGAACCTTTGGCAGCTGGGAGCAAAATCCCATAAGCAGATAACAAGTGCTTGACAACCTGATGAAATCGAACATGTACTATGGGGTCTATGGGGCCTGATGACATTTGTCTCAGAATCCTGAAGAAACTGGCTGATGTGGTTGCCAAACCACTGTCCATCACATCCAGAAAATCATGGCTGTTTGGTGAGGTCCCTGGTGATTGGAAAAAGGGAAATCACTCCCATTTTTAAGAAGGGTAAAAAAGCCTCATGTCTGTGCCAGGGAAGATGGTGGAATTCAGTGCTCCTGGAAGCTGTATTAAGAGACGTGCAAGATGAGGAGTTGATACTGAAACAACAAGCAGGGCTTCACCACGGATAGATTGGGCCTGAGCAACCTGATGGCCTTCTATGAAGGAATGATGACATCAGCTGATAAGGGAAGACCAACAAATGTTATCTCATGTCTTGAGTTTGCTGATAACACTGAGCTGAGTGGTGCAGTTGGTGTGACAGAAGGAAGGGGCGCCATCCAAAGGGACCTGGACAAAGTGGGTCTGCAAAGACAGGAGGGAGCCTGGAGAAGATGCAGGGGAGACCTTGTTGTGGCCTTCCAGTTTCTAAGCAAGATGAAAGATAGACTTTTACATAGGTGCATAGTGATAGAACTAAGGGGAAACAGTTCAAAGCTAAAAATAGGAAGATTTAAGTTAGATGTGATTGGGGAACTTTCCTCCCAGAGGGCAGTGAGGCCCTGGCACAGGCTGCCCAGAGGAGCTGTGGGTGTTCCATCCCTGGAGGTGTTCAAGGCTGGGTGGTCTGGTGAGGGGCAACCAATGCATGGCAAAGAGTTGAACTTGTATGGTCTTTAGGGTGCTTCCAACCCAAGCATTCTGTGATTGTGGTGGGATGGAGGTGATTTCTGTCCTGCATCCACATGGATACAACTAGGTTTTCTATTATCCCTAGGCCAGTGCAGCAGAAGATCGCATTCGTGAGTTGGAGGAAACGATGGCTGGTGAACGGGATAAATTTAGGAAGATGCTTGATGCCAAGGAGAGGGAGATGACAGAGATGAGGGACCAAATGCAGCTGCAGCTTACAGAATACCAGGAGCTGCTTGATGTGAAATTAGCACTTGACATGGAAATCAGTGCTTATCGAAAACTCCTGGAGGGAGAAGAGGAAAGGTATGAGCTCCGTTTTCTTAGGACTAATGTTACTTTGGCTTTTTTTTTTTTTTGTTCAATTTTAACAGAAATGCTCAGACTTTGTTTCACTGAATTCACATTGTTTTCACACTGTGATGTAACCCCTAACAGGTGTAGAACTCTTACAGCTGTTCTCCTCTGAATATCTGCCTTATGTTTTGGTTTTCATGATGGTGTCAAAGTGCACTGGAATATATAATTCTGAACTCGACATTCATCTCCTCTTTTTAAGTGTTTACTTATAGGTCTTTTCTGGTTTTTAAGTGATCAGACACAAGAATAAGAATAGTGTACTGGAGTATATGTAAGTAGTGGATGAGGCAGTCTGTGCTGCCCTCACCGTCGCTGCGTTTCAGGTCACGTATCACCCTGGACAGACCTGTTCCTTCATTTGCAGCCCCGCTGACAGAACAGTGAAGCACGGCAGTCTGGTTACTGAGTTTTGTGCTGTTATTGCTTTGACCGTCGCTCTGTGGACCAGCTAGAAAAATGTTAATTTCCTTCCATCTGATTGAAGTACTTGATCGTTTCCAGGCTGAAGCTCTCTCCCAGCCCCTCATCCCGCGTTACTGTCTCTCGAGCCACGTCCAGCAGCAGCAGCAGCAGCACTTCACTTGTCCGCTCTTCCCGAGGCAAGAGGCGACGGATTGAAGCAGAGGAGCTCTCGGGCAGTGGGACGAGTGGGATTGGCACTGGAAGTATCAGTGGTAGCAGTAGCAGCAGTAGCTTCCAAATGTCCCAGCAAGCTTCAGCTACAGGAAGTATCAGCATTGAAGAGATAGACCTGGAGGGCAAATACGTTCAACTGAAGAACAACTCCGAGAAGGTGAGTGTCAGCAGAGCTCCTTAAGGAGGAGCTAAACTGAAATGCTGCACTGTGTGTTGAGCACACGTCACTGAGAGAAATGGTACCTTTCAAGGTATGTCGTCTTGTAAAAGCGGTGTGGCATTTGAAAGGTGAATTTTGCTACAGGTGTGATGTTGCAGGATGACCATAGTCCTGAATGTCTGATCCCGTATGCTGGTGCTGTGCTGCTGGGAATGGCCTCGCTGGCTCTAGCAGAGCATTTTTTCATGTGAAAAGTCTCTTTTAAGTTTTTGTTGAATGACCTTAACACGATTACTGGGTGTGGAAAAGTATTCTCAAGTTAGATTGCAGATGTCTAACAACCACATAAATAAATGGAATGAAGAGGTGTAGCAAGACGTTTGATGCCTGTTTGCTCACCCTAAATAAATAACCTTACAACTCTCCTCACTAGGATCAGTCTTTGGGTAACTGGAGACTGAAAAGACAAATTGGAGATGGAGAAGAAATTGCGTACAAATTTACTCCGAAGTATGTCCTCAGGGCTGGGCAGACTGTAACAGTAAGTCATGTTCCATGTGTCAGCAATGTTCATCTGTTGATGTTGTGGCAGCTGTAAATCTGAAGTTTGGGGTGTAACTTTTGGACTTGCGGTTCTTGTTTTAGAGGAGCAGGACTTCAGTTGTAGAAAGGCAAAAGAAAGTTCCATTTCTGTATTAGCACTTCAGTATCTAAGGCCATTTAGCTGAAAAAGAGTTCTGTGGGGGGGGGAGGAGGCAAAGATTGTTGTTTATTTTATTCTTTTCAAGCACCTCTGTTGAAGTTTGGAATACTTAATCCTGCTCTACCCCTTCATGAAATAGGAACATTTATTTAGTCTGGTAGACTTGTGTTAAGTTTAATACTTGACATTCTCAGCCTTAACTGTAGTATTGCTTTTTGCGATTTTGTTTGACGTTTGGTCTGCAGCAGAATGGCTTTCCTTTAGTCAGCTGCAGTTATTTCTGCCCGAGTATTGATTGCTCAGATGCTTATCAGATGAAATTTGTCTGCACAAGCTGCGTTTTACGTCCCTCCTCTAGGCATTGAGGCTGTGGTGGGAGTGACTGTGTTCAGGACTGATGACTGCAGCGTTAGATTTCTTTCCTCTTGCTATGGCTGGTGATAGCTGTTGTTGCAGACTGAGAGTCATGTCTTCCCACAAGCACTGATGTAAATTAAAGTAGAGTAAATTTACCACTGGGATTTGGAAGCAAAACTGATAAGGAGAGACAAGTGGGAGAGTTAGAAGGTTTGGGATATTTAAAAATGAAACGTGCACGAATAGCTGATGACTGAATGTCTTCTCACCAGATCTGGGGTGCGGATGCAGGTGTATCTCACAGCCCCCCTTCTGTTCTCGTGTGGAAGAATCAGGGCAGCTGGGGCACTGGAGGAAATATCCGCACATACCTCGTGAACTCTGATGGAGAGGTGGGAAGAGAGTTTTCTTTTCATTGTTGGAATTACAGCAGATGTTTCCATTTGGTTCCTATGTGTTCTGCATTGTCCTACATCTGCCCACAGCTGATTTTTTTTGCAATTCTATGGATGCACTTTGCGCAGGAACAGCAGCACAGGACAGAATAGGAGGGAGGGTCACTTGTACCACAGGAAGCTGGCTTAGAATTCAAACTGGAGAAACAGTTAAAATACTGTCTGAAGGCATTTCAAATCCGTGTCCCTTCCTGCTGTGGTTCCCTTTGTTTCCTTGCTCAGGGTGTCTTGTTCCACAAGTGAAAATTTGCATCTGCAGTTTCAAGGCTGCAAGCGCGCGGTAGAGTTCTTGTTACTAAGAAGTGCTCAAAAATAGTTTAGTAATAAAGGAAGCTTCCTGATGTTTTAAAATTCTTTGTAGTGCCTGATTAGGAAGACCTTCCTGGTAATTGACATGAACAGTGGATATAAAGCATTTAGCAGAAAGAATGGGAGTTCCTAATACTGTGTAATCATACAGAGAAACTTCAATTTCTGACATCACACATCTTGGAGAGCTCCTGGGTCAGTCTGCTGTCAGCTTGTCAAACCAACAAGCACCTGCTTCTCAAACACCTGCTAAAGAAAGGAAGCTCCTGAAGCTGCCTTACACCACGATGCCTTTTGGTAGCTGGAATGAGGAATGTTTCTGTGGCTTGCAGGATCTTCAGTGTTTGCTTATACAGCTGTGATCGTGGGGCAAACTGATTTATATCATCCAAACATTACTGGGATTCCTATACTGATGATACAGCAAAAACTCAGAGCTGGATATGGACCACTAGTCATCTTCTCTTTCCTTTTGTGCAGGAAGTTGCAGTGAGAACTGTTACTAAATCAGTCGTCGTGCGGGAGAATGAAGAGGAAGAGGATGAGGCAGACTTTGGAGAGGAGGACCTTTTCAACCAACAGGTAATGAGATATAGACCGCATTTTTAATTTGTTTTTGGCTGGTTTGTACAATCAGCCAGGAGATAATGGGTTTCCCTTCAGTTTTCACTAGTTCTGAGTTTCTTGGTCCATTTTCCAATGGGTGCTTGCAGAAGATGATGCTAGGGCAGCTTGCAGCCGTGCAGCATTGCTACAGCATGCAGAAAGAATGTTCAAGGAATTGCTGCTTGAATCAGTAACTGTACAGCTCAGGCAGTGCCTAATATCAGTTTGGATGCTGGGTATCTATGGACACACACTGCAGATCAAGTTTACAACACTGCAATGACTTAAACTGTTTTTGGAGTTGGTAAGAGGAGGTTTAGCAGTCAATAATCACTGGACTGCTGTTCCCTATCCCAGTATTGCTTTCTCTGAAAAAGAAAAAGGTATCTGTGGCATTCCTGCTGTGAGCAGAATGTAACCATTGGGAAACAGGACCTCAAAAAGCCAAGTGGTGGAGGGAGCTTCTGTTGTTTCAAGTTTGTTTATTTTCTGGTAATATTTGAAGTGACCTTGGGTTTCCTTTATAACATCAGCCCTGTGTTCTCCTAGCTCTCAGTTAAGTATTGTATGGTGACTAAACTAACTGGCTGTTGGCAGAGTGAAAAGGAGAAATATGCTGTGTACAGGGAATATTAGGAAATAGATTAAATGTATTTCAAACCTGACTGCTCGGTTCTTTGGTTCAGTGGCCACAAGTAGCCCTTCTCAAGAACTATTTCTCTGCAGGTTTGAAGTTGAGTTGTGCAAAATTCCTTTGCATTTAGCAGCGTAGTTGAAGCGTAAGGCAACTGAAACACAAGTAATTTTTGCCCCCCAGGAAGCAGCTTTGCAGCACAGATCTCTTGAAAGGAAAGACGTGAACTAAAGGAAGAGAACCTGTTAAGAAGCCGGTGGTGTTGTGATTTTCATTTGCCATTTTTGTCAGTGTTGAAAGTGTGGACGTGAAGCACTCAGCCCATCACAGCAGACCACGGCAGCAGTGTCTTACTGCTGTGCACAGACTGAGTAATGTGCTTCGTTTGCAGCTGCAGTGCTCCCTGAGCACAGCTGAACTAGAGGCAGGAGGAAGGTGCTGTTAACAGGGGGATAACCAGAGTCTGGTGTTACAATACCAAGAGCTGGTAGGAAAGTAGTTAATGCTGTGTCTTTCTGATTTTAGGGGGATCCCAGAACAACTTCTCGAGGATGCTCAGTGATGTGAAGAAAGAAAGAAAAAAAACTATTACTTGCTATTTTTTTCCATTTATTTCCTTTTATTTTTGCTATTTTTTTTTCCTCCAGAGCCACTGAAAACTATTTTTATACGTATCATCTGATTTCTTTGATGGTTACTCCTTGGTACATTTTTATATAAAAAAAAATCTAAAAAAAAAAAAACCTTTACTGAACAAAACTGCCAGAGTTTTTAATAGATTTCTTAACTTCTCTCTCTTTGTTGAAACACTGTATTGGAATAATTGTTTTTCCCTATACAGAGTTTAAAGTCTTATGCACAAACCTGCGGCAGAAATTTTTAGCTAAAATGGGACGAGACTTCTTGAGTGTATGGTGAACCTGTGCTGTGTGCATCCATGAGCAGGATGACTTAAAAACAAAGCTTAAGAAAGGATGTTTACCTGCAGGGCCTTGGGAGGTCGGTGGTAATGTTTCTCTGACCTTTAAGAAATGATAGGATCCTGTGGGTGCCCAGCTTGGAAAAATTATGCCCCAAATTCATTAGAAGTGCTTCTCCAGCAGTGGAAGTAATAAAGGGTAGCTGCCTTTTAACCAGGTCTTGGCTCAGGACTGTGGATTTCTGTGCTACTCCAGGATTGACAGCCTGATGATCGTCTGAATCCCATCAGTGCTGTGGCTCCAGGCCGTTATTTCAGGAGGTGGAGAGCGATGGCTTCTGCTGTCTGCAGATGTGTGGGAGTGTCAAAAACAGACTTGTAATCATTGTGTTCTCAAAGGATTTTGACATTGTAACAAATGAGATCTTGTTAAATTGTGAATGCAAGTCGTGATGTATAGTATTTATGATGTTAAGCATCATGATTTAACGATTTTGACATATTCAGCATTGAACAGAATGACTAAGATTTTAATGTTGAAAATATTTTTATTTCTGGCATTGATAAATATTTGGGGTTTCAAAGGTTATCTGTGTAAATGTTGATTTCTTTTTGTTTTGTTGAATCAGACCTAAATGCAGCTTATCCATACTTGTCTTACATCCAGAGGGCCGTTGTCAGACACACTGAGCGTCTGCAAAGTAGTACAGAAACAGCTGAGTGCCGTTTTAGAGAGTTAGAAGGAACTGCTGCTGCTGTGGATGGGAGCATTACTTTGCAGATCTCACAGTAACAGTGGGTGATGTGAACAATCTTTTTTTTTTATGAAGATGGTTTTTATTTCAGGCAATGACTCTGGTATCTGACAGCGTCCCTTTGGCTTAAGGTTTCTTCTGCTGCACTTCTGTGGAGGTAGCAGTGGCTCTCCTAAGGCCAGCATTCAGATAGCAGCGCATCTTCAAGCACTAGGAAGACTTGACTGCCCCAAAGAATGCCTGGGCTGCACTCAAGCAGATGGTTTTTGCATTGGTTCTTAATTTGGATGCTGTTGGCAGCACAGAACGCTGTTGTTACCTGCACTCTCGAGCTCTGACCTGCCGTTCAAGTAGTTGAGACTCATCAAACCAGCAGCGAGGTTTGGATGTTTTCGGTGGCTTTTGGACATTGTGTTCTCTGAACAACATTATGACTGACAGACGTAACCGAGGAGGTCATTGTAGTGGCTCTGACCGGTGGCTATGCAGTGCAAGCAGAGTGGGAACAGAAGTGAGATTTCTAAGCTTAGGTTGTATTTTTTGCCATCTAAAAATAAATTTGAGACGCTACTTTTCTCTGTTTGGGTGGCGTGATTTAATTACTGAAGTTAATGAGCCGAATTCAGATTTTTGTGTTAGTTCAGCAGGCGGAGCGTTGCAAAAAGCAGTAGGAAGCCTTGGCTGTTGGGACTGGAGGGGTCGCTCCATGGCTGTCGTTGGCCATTTTTCAAGTGTAATTTTCCCACTCTGCTTGAGTAGAAGGTGAAATATGTAGTAAATCATGTCTCTCTTTCTCTGTAAAGTGTATCTAATGAAATTATGTTTCTCAGACATACTGTTAACCAATTGCCTTTCCTAAATTCATTGGTATACAAATAGATGCAATCAGTGTAAAAGTTTTTTCACAGTGCACCTTCCAACCACTGGGCAGCATTTCCCTTTCTGACCCACACTTCTGTACCACACTCACAGTGTTTCAGAGCTTTTTGCAGTTTTTCCCTGTATTTATTTTTGTTTCACATTGGCCAGTTTTCAGGTTGCTTATTCTTGAGGGTTTTCCTGTAAATATGATTGCTCTGTGATCTTAAATTCTAAAGAAATGAATGTGCTTTTTTTTTTTTTTTTCTTTTGATTTTTTTGTTTTTTGCTTTTTCTGTGAAGAATGGGCAGAAAGGCAGCTTGAATGAGGGGGAACCTCTTGCTACCTGGGCCACTGATTTCTTAACAGCTGCTGTATGGCAGACGTGTCGCCTTGTAGCCCTACGGAGAGGTGTTTTCTGTTACACCCCTCAGTGACTGCATGCAGAATTTCTCCTTGGATTTGGAGCTGTTTCCTGTAAGTTTGGAAACACTTTCTTTTCTTTTTTCACATATAGAGGTGCTCACAGAAAGCACTAATGTGGGAGAATCTGAATTCAGCAGGCAAAGTGTTGGTGATTCACAGTGCCTTCTAAAAGGCAACCTAGAGTTTGAGAATAATTCCTCACTGTAAACTACAGACACAGGCAAACTACTGTATTCCACTTGTTTTCTTTGTGGGTGTCTGTCTGCTTCAGACAAATTTCCTTCCTCTTGCTTTTGATGCTGAGCTTCGGCATAACTTCAAGTTGGTGCTCAGCACTGGAGGATTTCTTCTGCTTTACTGAACCAGAAAGCATTGCTGCTGCTTTTTCTCTTCATCAAAGATTTTCTCTCTTCATTTTCAGGATAATTGAAATGTTCTGCTCACGTAAAATCCAGTGCCACCTTGCCCTCCTTTCCTGTGTAGTCATGCAGGTGAACCAGCTCTCAGGGATTTGGAGGATAGTCAGCATTTGTGCTCTGCTGTCTGATAGCAGGTGTGGAGCTTGAAGGAGATGTGCAGCGTACTTGTCAGGAAAAATGACCTTAAGGCTTCTCTGATGGGAGAAGTTAATCAGTGCAGTTCGTGTCAGAGTGTTTGAGAGTAACTACCCATAGAGAAGAACAAGGAACAGTTTTATTCTGGGTGGAACAGTGCAAATGAGTTCTGAGTAACTTACAGTGGGGGAGTCAGGGGGAAGGAATAACAGCATAACGACAGAAAAAACAATTAAGCTGATCTTCTAACTGCAGATGGGCACAGTGGGGCTCTGTGGGGCCTCTGGCCTTTATGCTTTCCCCACACTTCTGTCTGTCTTGCTTCAGCTGTTGTGTTGCAGTGGCTTGCTCCAAGCAATGCAATGGCTGTGATTCCTGTGTCGCTGCACACCTTTAGCTCACGGTCTGTGTGCATGGGCTGCTTCAGGCCCTGACCGAACCAGCAGCTGATCCTCAGCACCCTTCTGCCGTTAGATGGGCACTGTGTTTGTAGCAGGAGCCAAAATTCTCAGGAAGAAAACAAACATCTGCTTCCCGTGGACTGTAATGGAAAAGCCACACAAGCTGGTCTGCAGCTCTCGTTCATCACCAAAGCTGGACTGCAGTGTGAAGCAGAGCAAACTGTGAAAGGAGATTTCCTTTTGTGCACATTTATCCTCGAGCAACAGGACGCCTCATGTTCAGTTTAGGGATTGTAGAGTTTTTTGTGCAGCCTTTTTCTTTGTAATCCTGTGTGAAGCCTTTTAGCTGCAGCCTGAGCAGGGAGTGGTTGGGAGAGGCTCCTAGAAATCCTCTCTATCCCCCAGAATGTTTGAGAACCTTTTTCTTCTGTGTGTACTAAGAAGAGTGTGATGCTGTTTGCCAACGCTCTGTGTTGGGAGCCTTGTAGCCACTTCCCTCCCTTCCTTAAGCCATTCATTCTCTTTTTTCTTTTTGAAATCTTCTCTCTAAACAAAGGAGTATCCATATTCCACCCTGGATTTCATTGCCACTGTTGGGTCCAAACCCCAAGCCCTGCGCAAGCAGGGACAAAAGCTCTGTTGTAAACCAGTGAGTGGAAGGTGAGATAGTGATTGCATTTCGGAATCGTTGTTGTAGCTGAACAGCAAGACAAATGAGAGGTGGTCATTGGTCCGACGTCTCAAATGGCCTGGGAAACAGAATTTTAAATTGCGCTTCGATGTGCTTAGCTTTAAACCACTTTAAAATAATTTAAGTGTTTTTTTATACAAAATCATATTTACATGCAATTACCATTTGTAAGCATAATGCCTTTCTTGAAATGCTAAGGTCTAGAGAGTGAATGGGACTCTTCATGTCACAAGACTCCGTTCAGAGCCACACGAGCAGCGCATGGACACGGAGTTCAGGAAGAAAGCGTTGTACTGGACCCACATTTCCCCATTAACAAAGTGATGATCCTTTGTCTGTAAGGTAAATGCTGCTGTGTATCTCAGCTGCCCAGTGTTCATCACGCTAAATCATGAGCAATAAGCTGTCTTAAGCAAGGCGAGGCCAAAGCGTTTTACATCTGGGCAGAACAGTAACTTCTCTGTTCAGCTGTTCATAATGATGCTGGTGTTGCCCTGTGATCGAGTTGTGGATTTCGTTCTGCATCACCTTGTAGTTCTGGCAGTGTCACTGCCTGCACTCAGCTGCTGCCAACCCATTTTCAGAAGGCTCTCATTTTATTTAAAAGAAGGGATTGTGAGAAATGTACAAATTGGAAAGCAGGCACAAAAGGACGGGAGCATTACATGGAGCTCATGAAAACTACATAATGATCTAGACTTTACCATTTCAAAATGTTGTGGTTTTATTTTCATTTTTTTTTCCTCTTAGAATATGCATGCCAAATGTCTTGTCTTTTTCAATGATTTGTAATATACATTTTAAGACTGGAAACTTTTTGTACAACAACACTCAAATAAATGTTTTGCATTTTATTTGTTTCGTTTTGTTGAGGGAAATGCAGAGGGCTGTTGCGTCACTCTGTCCCAGGGGAGGATGGCCTGGTGTCCAAGAGACACAGGATCACGGACTGTCCACACTCCAAAAGGGGCTCAGTGGGATCACATGAGTGGAGCGGGTGAGCAGTAAACCAATGAACCCTTTCCTTTAAATGTAGTGCAGGCAGCGCTATGGGGAAAACGCTGCCCTTAGCACTGCAGAGAGCCTGCATAGCAGGAGCAGAGGAAGGCACCACAGTGAGAGCTGGATAGACTGCATCGATGGGCCAAAGTAAACTGAGTTTCAATAGGGCCAAGGGTTGGCTCCTGCATTTTGGTCACAGCAGCCCCAGGCAACCCTACAGCGTTGGGAGGAGTGGCTGGAAGCTGCCTGACAGAAAGGGACCTTGGAGGACTGATGGACAGGTGGCTGAATATGATCCAGCAGGGGGCCAGGAAGGCCAATGGCATCCTGGCTTGGATCAGGAACGGTGTGGTGAGCAGGACCAGGGAAGTCATCCTGCCCCTGTGCTCGGCACTGCTGAGGCCTCACCTCGAGTGCTGGCTTCAGCTTTGGGCAGCTCAGCACAGAAAGGACATGGAGGTGCTGGAGCAGTTGCAAAGAAGAGCAACAAGGCTGGGGAAGGGGCAGCAGCCCCATCCCAGGCAGCACCAGCCCTGCTGTGTCATGGCCACATCACCAGGAGCAGCCACCAGCTCCAGGAACCACACCCCAACTGGCACAGCCATGTCACAACAACACAACATTGGTGGTGGCTGAGTTCCACAGTGAGCTTGATGTCGCAGCAACCCGGAATGCAGACCAGAAGGGCAGTGCCAAGCTGAGGTGGGCAGGAGCAGCCCATGGGGATGGATGGGAGCTGCTCCTCTTCTGCCTCGCAGCCACACACGGGGACACAGCGGGACGGCGAGGTGCTCCTGTCCTCACCTGGATTCACCTCTGGACAAGAGGGCCACTCTGCAGGACAGATAAGTCTCTCCCATACTGTAACCCACCTTGGTCCTACAGGACCCTGCAAGCTCCCCAAAGACCCCGTGCTGCAAATCCCAGGTTTTGCCCTGGATTGCTGAAACCTGGCCCCACTGCAGGGCTGACGCCAGACCTACTGGCTGCAGTGACCTTTTCAACACACGGCCATGGAAATGGTGGCAGACAACAACCCGGTGAGCAGGGCAATGCTGGGGAGGGCAGCACAGGGAAGCAGGGCACGTGGCTGCTCCTTTCTTCCTTCCCATGTGCCTTGCAGACGGCCATCCACACAAAGATGGAACCAAAGCAGGGCACACGCTGATCCTCGCCGATCCTCAGCTCACTAACTGGTCTCCATGCTGCCATACAGAGCAGATAAGTCAGACGTAAACCTCGCCCTTTCTAGGTCCTAAGGGACCCTGGAAGCTCCCCAAGATCCCCCTGCCCTCACCCCTGCATTTTATATCGCTTTGCTGAAACCTGGCCCCACTGCAGGGCTGGCACCAACCTACAGATTGCAGTGGCCCTTCCCACACACGGCCGGGGAAATGGCTGGCAGACAACAACCTGGTGAGCAGGGGCCTACAGGGGCCCTGTGACTCTGTGATAGCACAGAAGCTATCACAGCATTAAAAAAATTACAGCCTTCAAAATAAACTTTGTGCTTCATTAAACCAGTGGTGCTCCTTCCATCTCGTGACGTCTGTAACACAAGCCTTTTGGGGGAGAGTTCACTTGTTTTCATCATCTCCTCCTGTTTATGTATCTGTGTACTTTAGCATCGCAGAACGGTTTGGGATGGAAGGGACCTTGGAGATCACCTCGTTGCAACCCCTCTGCTGCAGGCAGGGACACCTCCCTCTAGACCAGGCTGCTCACAGCCCCATCCAGCCTGGCCTGGAGCGCTTCCAGACAGACGGCATCCACCACCTCACTGGGCAACCGGTGCCAGCGTCTCACCACCCTCACAGGAAAGAATTTCTTCCTAATATCAGGTCAAATCTCCCTCTTCCAGTTTAAAACCGTTTCCCCTCCTCCTGTAGCTGCATGCCCGCATAAAAAGTCCCTGCACAGCTTTCCTGCATTTTGTCACAACAACCCTACAGCCTTGGGGAGGAGTGGCTGGAAGCTGCCTGACGGAAAGGGACCTTGGAGGACTGATGGACAGGCGGCTGAATGTGAGCCAGCAGTATGCCCAGGGGGCCAGGAAGGCCAATGGCATCCTGGCTTGGATGAGGAATGGTGTGGTGAGCAGGACCAGGGAAGTCATCCTGCCCCTGTGCTCGGCACTGCTGAGGCCTCACCTCGAGTGCTGGCTTCAGCTTTGGGCAGCTAAGCACAGAAAGGACACGGAGGTGCTGGAGCAGATGCAAAGAAGGGCAACAAGGCTGCAGAAGGGCTTGCAGAATATGGCCTGTGAGGAGAGCTTGAAGGAACTGGGGCTGCTTGGTCTGGGGAAGAGGAGGCTGAGGGGAGACCTTATGGCTCTCCTCAAACACCTGAAAGGTGACTGCAGTGAGAGCAGGGCTGGACTCTTCTCACTGGTGACAGGACGAGGGGAAATGGCCTCAGGTTGTGCCAGGGGAGGTTTAGGTTGGACATCAGGAAGAACTTCTTTACAGAAAGCTTCCCAGGGAGGTGTGGGGAGTCAGCATCCCTGGATGTGTTTCAGAACCGTCTGGCTGTGGTGCTCAGGGACGTGATTTAGTGGTGAATGGTTAGTTAGGGCAGTGTGGTTGGGCTGAGGTGGGACTTGATGATCTTGAAGGTCTTTTCCAACCTGAGCAATTCTATGATTCTATGACTGTTGGCAAGGGAGAAATTGTGCACTGGCAGTGAAATCCGTTCTGTTCCGTGCCCTAAACCCGACCAGGTAATGCCTCCCCCGGCACTCCCTGCTTGAGCGTCTCAGGCTCACAATCTTCCCAACACTGTTGCTGTGATACATCTCCACCTATGGGCCGCTACCAATCTCTCGTCTTTAGGAATGCTTTGTACTTTGCAATATCTGCAGCGTTTCGAAGTTAGCACATCTGTTCTGCTTTGTGTTTGGACAGGAGAGCAATATTCCAAAGTTAGCACATCTCTCCTGTCCTGTGCTCAGCTCTCCCCATCCTTTGCCTGACTGTCCCCATGCCGTCCTATGCTGTTCTCTCCCATCCTGCGTACTTTCCTTATCTTGTGCCGTCAGTCCTACCCAAGTCACTACAGCCCATTTCCAACTTCACTCCATCAGCTTTCTTTACGAATCAATAACATTTAGGACTCTTTTGTAAGTTCAGTAAGGGCCCCCGCGGCATACAAAAATAAATAAATAAATAAATAAATAAATAAATAAATAAATAAATAAATAACTGGAAACAACAGGTTCACAGGAAGGTTCTAATTTCAGGAATACACAACATAGAAAAAAAACCTGGAAACTCCTACTGCAGAAACACAATCTGCCTCTGTTGTGGTTCTGAGACTTTTCGTGGTCACTGTTGCACACCAGAACGCCGTGCGGAGCAGTGGGACTTCACGAGGGAATCTTCTGCTTGCGCTTCCCGCCTTCTACGGGCACGTGGAGCAGCTGAGGGGCGAGGGGAGGGGCGGCTTCCCGGAGGAGCCGGCGGGCAGCGGCAGCAGCAGCTCCGCTCAGGACCCGAGCGTCTGTCTGTGTCGCTCCTGCCCCAGCTCAGCCCTGGCAAACCTGTGTGCCTGGGAGAAGGCTGCGTAGAGACGTGTTGGCGCCCACCCCTGAAGACTTCAAAGGCAAGGCTGGAGCAGGCAGGGCATCCGATGGAGCTGTGGTGTCTGTGTTCATAGTGGGGCAGTTGGACGAGATGGCCTTCAGAGTCCCTTCCAACTCTACAGATTCTGTGACTCTATGATTCTATGCCCTGGGCTATGAATGTGCGGGAATCAAGTGTTGTTTCTGCATTACAATTGGATAATATTATTTTTATTTCACGATCTCCGCTATCATAGTTCTTTTTGGGAGTCCTTCTACTTCACCTCGGGAAGATCTCTGATAGTTTGCATCACTGATCCTCTAGACAAACCTTCCCAGGCACGCACACTCTGTATAGAGGTGTATAGATGTACATTTTGTCACACACTGCAGGAATATCCTGCACGAGAGCAAACCAGGGAACAGCCATGGCCTGCCCCAGGAAGCGCCTGAAGAGACATCGGCAGGCCTGGCATCATCCCCAGTGCTCTTTGTTTAACGAAGTCTTTAAAGAAAATCACATCAATACGGCAAGGAGAGCACCGAGACAGCTTGGAAACAACAGCACGGCTGCGGAGTACGCAGCCAGTGGGGAAACAGGGGACGGGGGAGGCAAAGGGGAGCAAACAGGGTCTAAAGGCTGCCATGTTGTGTCCATAGGCGCTCCTGCTTGCGGGACGCCGCCATTGCAATCGCAAATAAATTCTGCTGTTACCAGAGATACCGTCCTGACAAACATGACTTGGATATTTCCAGCTAATGGATGCAGTGTTTGGTGTGATCCATTCTCTATGCAACATGTGAGCATAACCAGATGTGTTTGGTCTGCGCCCCTACAAGCTGCTGAGGGTACAGGCACAGTTCTAAAGGCTGCCCATTGTGTGTCATCAGTGACATCACAAAGGGTGAGGGCAGCCTAGGTAATAGCCAAGGGAAAGCCAGAACAGTCGCATGAGCGACAGCGACAGGAGCACAGGGACCTTCAAGGCTTCTTGAGCACAAGGACCTTCAAGGCTTCTTGAGCACAAGGACCTTCGAGGCTTCTTGAGCACAGTCCACTTCTCGTCATGTCACTTCCGCCTGCCCGTAAGAGCCGGCGAATCTACCTTTCCTTCTCCCCTCCCTATGCCAGCTCTGGTTCTCAGTCTGGTGAGATGGAGGTGAGACCCCCCCGCAGGCCAAAGTTGGCTTGGCAGGCGTGGCCTCCTGAAAAGGAGGAGAAGGAGAAGGAAAAGAAGATCACAAATCCACGTGAGTAACGGGTGGGAAGCACTGGGCACAGCGGTCATGCTTGATTCAAAGCTGGCACCCACTTCTTCCTGCACCTCCTTTCCTGAAACTCCCTTTCCCAGCATGGAGTCCAGCTCCAGCTAAAGGGAGCGTGGAACCACGGGATCCAGGAATGGTTGGGTGTGGAGGGACCTCAAAGCCCCCACAGGCCCAGCCCCTGTTGTGGGCTGGTTGCCACCCACTGGATCAGGCTGCCCGCAGCCCCATCCTGCCTGGCCTCGAGCACCTCCAAGGATGGGGCAGCCGCAGCTTCTCTGGGCAGCCTGCGCCAGTGCCAACCTCTCCCAGACTGTTGGGATGGGTGCCGAGAGGCTGCTGGGCTGGCAGGATGTCAGGGAAGCAGGCAGGCAGGATGGCTCCATGCCATGCGCTGGGGCCATTCTTTCCCTCACTCCTTGCCTTTGGCCCCTCTCTACGGTGCTCATTCTTCTCCTCTTGCTTAGGTATTCGCATCTTGGAGCTGTGGAGAGAATCAGCCATTGCATGCATCTGTGAGTTTCTGCAGAGAAAGGACAAGGTAAGAGCAGCTGTTTCCACTCACTGTGGAAACAGCCCCGGTTCTTCTCCAGGCTGCTACCCTGCAGGCATTGCACCGCGCCCCATGATGCTTGGGGTCCTGCTGGCCGTGGATCTCACCTTCATGCCCCCTCTTGTTCCCTCTGTGACTACCAGGATGTGCAAGAGAAAATCAAATTCCTGAGAGGCATCTGCACGCTGTGCAAATGCAGGGACACGTTGCTCAACTTGGATGCTTTCTGCCAAGAAAAGCAGCTGGCAGATAATGTCCAGGTGGGGAGAAAGGCAGTGGGCTGGAAAAGGGGGCATGGACCCCCTGCACCCTTTTGTGGACAAGGCTGGCACGGGGAGAATTGAGCACGGACACGCAAGTGTCCTCTGGTGGCTGCCACGTCCCATCCATCCCATCCCTCCTGTGTTCTGCAGGCGCTGATCGATGAGGAGCCCAAGCACACTTTGTCCTCGGAGATAAAGCAGGAAGCCATGATGAGCTTTGCCAACATGAGGTAGCTGCCCAGGCCCACATTTGGCTAGCACGGCCCCATGGCAGGCTCCTGGCGGCCCTGAAGCTGGCAGGGAGGCTTCCTCCTGCCCGTGGAGGTCCACGTCCTCCTTCCCGTGGCCTCGAGGCACGGTGTCCAACGGGCTTCTCTCTCCCCTTGCAGCACTGTGGAGACAGCGCTGGAAGGCAAAACGGAGAGCATTCTGAATTCCTGCTTCAACAGTGTCTTCTTTTTGCCTCCGGAACTGAGCATACCAGAAAAGGAGAAAGAACTCTACAATGAGGTGTGTGCTGGGTGAGCCACCGGAGCGCCAGGTCCCTTTGGGCTGCTCCCTGGCTCCTTGTGCTGAGACCGCAGGAGAGCCAGGCAGGGCAGGAAGCCAGCTTTGCTTTTCCACCCTCATCTTGTCTCTTCTCTGGGGATAGGGTTAGCATGAGGCGCCCCGTGAGGTGCCGCAGCCGCCCTTCTGCAACTCTCTGTCCTCTTGCAGACCATGTGTGCCATGGACGTTATGCTGGAAGCCTTGGTGCAGAACTGCCCCAGCAGGAGAATGAGCGAGGAGCTGCACAGCATGTTTCAGGTCTGGCAGGCAGTTGCAAAGAGCGGGGTCACTGGGAGGGATGCGAATGTCCCTAGTGCAGTGACACAGACACTCCTTGCACGTGAAGGTCCTGCAAAGGATCCTGCCCCTGCTGCTCTGTTCTTCTTCCCCCGTGGGGAAGATCCCAGAGCTCCTGCTGGAGCGGCAGAAGCTCCCAGGGCAAGTACCAGCAGATTCTCTCTTTGCAGGCTCTGCTCCACTTCCTCAGCTCCCAGGATGTGCATGTCCGTACGAGAGCCCTGCGTGGGGTTTTACAGATGATCCGTAATTTTATGGAAAAAGTAAGGAGCCAGGCACCCTCCAGCCAGGCTGTCTCCCATTCTCCATATCCCAGAGCAGCTCAGGGGTGCCTACAGCCGGGCTGCGGCTGGGAGCTCTCAGCGGGGCTCTGCCCCAAACGAGGGTCCTTGCCCCATCTTTGCCCCCGCTCTTCCCTCTCCAGGCCCTGCTCTGCTTCCACTCAGCCCTTCCTCTCTTCTCCTTCTCTCACCCAGGACTGGGAGGGCCCTGAAGCTTACAAGCCACTCATTGACGTCTACTTCCCAATCCTGGGAGAGCTGCTGGGTCACCTCAGCCTTTTCAACTGTGGCTACGAAAGCACCAGAGCTCCAGCTTTACAAGCGCTTCATCGCCTCCACATGTTTGTCAAACGACAAAGAAGTAAGAGAAGATGGGTTGGGCAGCATCTCTGCTCCTATGTCTGCTCCTTTCTCCTATTCTTATGCTTTGTGAAGCCTGACCGTGGAGTCCGCAAGCTCTCTGAGCTCCTTTACTCTTCCAAGCAGCTTCACCATTCCTAAGCTGCCTCTTGCTCCCAGCACCCATCACCTTTAGCTGTGTAATCCCTTTCCTTCACTCTCCTCAGCATGGGTCCCATCAACCCATGTCTGCTCACCATTGGTCTCCGTGCTCAGGTCTCCTACACCACGGGTCCCCTCTACCGTGGGTCTCCTCAGAACTCCGTTTTCAGCTTAAAGCACCGTTCACCAATTGCTGAGTTTGATGGCAAAGACATTGTTTCCTTCTGACTCTTCTGTGTTCCCTCCCTTTTAGGAACAAGCCTGTCAGAGGAGATGGAAAACTACGTGCGTCTCCATGAGAAGCCGGAGGATAGAAAGTTCAGAGATAATGACTTTCCCACTCCCAAAGATTGCGCCGAGGTAACGTCCTGCCTTGCTGAGGATCTTGTCCATGGCATCAGCAGGAAATGTCTGTGAGCAAGGGGAGTGCAAGGGCAGCAGATCCAGCCCTCCTGGCTGGAGGACCGCAAGGCCGCCTTCTTACCAAATGCCCATGCCCCCACCTGCAATCCATCTCCCAGAACCCTCTCTTGCCATCCTGCGCCACGCAGTGACGGAAGCTGATGCTGCCAGCTTTCCTACAGGCTCTGCTGCCCAGCATCTCTGCAGAGCTGCTCTCCCTGCACTGGAGTGCTCAGTGTGGCATCTCTTCCCTCCCCTGCTTCCACCCACAGTTGTTTGGAGGATACCTCAAGCCTGCTGAGAGGATGGCCGTCGTCCTCACAGCCCTTCAAGCGATGGTTGACTCCAGCATCTATGACAAGGAGGCGGCCTGCAGTGTGATGGCCGTGGCCATGGAAGACCATGCCTTCTGGATGCCAGATGTAAGCCCCTTTTGGCCACTGCCCCATCCTTGAGCCCTTTCAGGCGCTGTTCTTCCCTCCCCAGCCGAGGCCTCTGGGGCTCCTGAAGCCGTTCTCAGCGATGGGAAGTGCAGTGGTTTCAGCGGCACCTGTGCTAATGGTTGTGGTCTGTTCTCGCGTGTGTTCCCTTCAGAAAGCCCAGTTCATGACCTTCATCCGCAAGAACTTGAGGAGCATCACCACAAAGGCAGCGCGGCACTGCCTGGACTCCCTGCTCCTCCTTCTGACCAGCCAGATGCCCACGGAAGAAGTCAGGAGCCTGCTGAAGTCCCCTCCACCAAGCGACAGGTACTGTCCTCAGCAGCCTGGAGGGCTTCTTCCAGGTGCCCTCCCGCTCGCCCAGGGCTCTCCAAGCAACGTGGGCCTGCAGGGTTTTAGCTGTGCTAAGGTAGCTCTGCCTACAATGTATTTGGGCTTGCAGCAACGCCCTGGACACGTGGGAGGTGATGCTCTGCATGCCGCGGACCTTGGAGAAGGTCTTGAAGGAGGTGACCAAGGGCTCACAGCTGAGCAGGCTGGTAGAAGGAGTCACAGAAGACACCTGTATCCTCTTCTTGGCTGTGAGTTAATAGATAACACTTTGCTGCCCTTTGGGGCTGCGTGTGCCCCTGCAGGGTCTCACCTGGCTATGTCTATGTTTCAGCTAATGGCAAAGAGTGAAGATAATGAGGACTTTTTTGGTGACCTACGCCACCTCAAGACTTTTCTGAAGCATCCAAGCGTGGAGATGCACAGCGTGGTGCTCAGAGGGCTTGTCGTACTCTCCGAGACACGGGAGAAGGTGAGTGGGGCGTTGTCAACCAAAGCGGCACTGGGCTTCTTGGGCAGCGACTGGAGAAGGGTGACGGTCACGGTGGGGCCTGCTGGCTTTGAGGAGCTTTGAGGATGGGACATCAAAGCCCAGTAAAGTCAGCTTTTACCGTGGGCTAGTTGTCACCTACCAGAGCAGGTTGCCCCTGGCCCCATCCGTCCTGGCCTTGGGTACCTCCAGGGATGGGGTACCTACTTCTCTGGGCAGCCTCACCGCCCTCTGAGAAAAGGACTTCCCCATTGGCCTTGTGACTGCCGTGCCCGCTGCCAGCAAGTGAAGCAGGAGACTGGAGCTCAGAGACGGGAGCGTTTTGCCCAGACGGTCGTTCCCCGCATCAGACAAAGGAACTTGCGTTTCCTACAGGCAAGAAAAATGCGGGTGGTGCTGCCAGAGATCATGGCCACCCTGCAGGATGCCAGCGCAGACATCAAGATGAAGGCCCTGTTTGTCATTCAAAACATCATGGACTGCGCGAAGAGGAAGGAGGCCAGCTCCATCGCTGTGCAGCACGCCGAGGAGCTCCTGCCTCTCTTTGTCGATGTAAGTGAGGCTGCTGCAGGAGGCAGAGCCCCCGCAGGGCACTCTGCAGTGCCCCCGCCTCTGGCCCAGCTGTGTGGGCAGCACTCGCATCGGGCCCTCTCCCCTCCCCACTCCTCCTGGGGCTCCTTCCGGGCAGTGGGACGGCTGTGGGCCCTCGGAAAGCCCCGCGCCCAGCATCTGCTCCCCACCGTTGGCTTCCGGCCCTCCATGCCTCCTCCGCTGCCTGTGCAAGGCCAGGCCAGGCCTGGTCCCCATGCACAGTGCAGGAAGGCCTGCAGGCGCTGCGTGCCACGGAGGCGGTGTGAAGGTGGCCCAGCCTCCTCGTGCTAGAATTCTCTTCCTTCCTCCCTCCCTCCCAGGAGTCCAGTGATGTGCGGGCGTCCTCCATCCGTCTCTACAGAGACATGGTGCAGGCCGTGGTCTGGTGCCACCGGAGCAGAATGAAGGGGACGGTGCGCAGGGGCCTGGTCCCACTGCTCCTTCGGATGCACGATGAGAACCAGGACGTGGCCCAGGTACAGTTTTCCACCCCACCGAGGGCACGGTGACACCGTTTGGGTGCTGTGGGTGCCAGGGTGCGTGGCTGCTGCCCAAGGCCCGGAGGACAGGCCCAGCTCCCTGCCGTTCCTCGCACCGGAGCAGGCGGAGGGGTCGTGCATCCACAGCCTGGGCTCCGAGCTCTGCTACCTGCAGCCTGGGTGTTGAAGGCCTGGGATAGTGCCAGCTGGGAGGCCAGCGTTGTGCTGGGTGACCACGGAGGGGCTGCGGCTCCGTGTCTCTGTGTGGCCATCACACCCTGCTGTCTGTGTTCTGTTCCCTTCCCACAGCGTGCTGGGAAAAGGCTCCCGGCCCTGCCGAGAGGAAGGCAATGCCGGGTCTCCTTCCTCGGGCCGTGGTGCCATCTCCCAGCTTCTGCTTCCCCACAGGCCGCCAGGAAAGCCATTGTACAAATGGCCCATCTCCTGCGCTGGAACGACCTCCTGGAGCTGGCTGAGAAACAGGAGACGTGGAGGATCGCGCAGTGCTTGGTAAGGAGAGCCCCAGAGCCCAGAGCAACAGGAACAGCGCGG